CACTTAGCGGGGTTTATCGCGAAGACCCACAGGACATGGGAAGTCGGGTCTCTGCACCGACGGGGCTCCGGAGACAAACACAGACTTGGACTTGCCAGCCCCAAGCGTTCGGTGCCTCTTGTCCCGTCAGCAGGAGGCTGTGATCCCACGTGCGGTGTTGTGCCTTCCGCGGACTCGGCTGGTTTTCCCTGTATTTCTGCATTCTCCCCTTTGAGCTCCTGTGTCCCCCAACTGTTCTGCTTCCTCCCCGTGTCCGCACGGCGTTGTCCCAGGGCGAGCCTGAGGCCTCGTGTCGGGCACGGCATTCGCGCGTGGCCGCTCCGCACACCGGAGGCGGGATACCAGACTGGCTGTCCTCGGGGGGACTCCTGCCGGCCCGAGTCCATCGTTGCAGGGCGCCACCGGGGCCCACGGAGCCAGCAGGTGCCGGGTGTAGGAGGCGCCCGCAGGGAGCGGCCGGGCTTGGGGGCTTTCTGAAGACTGGCCGTGATCGCTCGGGACTATCTTATTTTAAAAAACAGCAAGAGGTTACATGTTCTCATTGAAAGGGAGGACCCCACATTTCAAACTATGGATCAAGCTTTGAACCAAGCGTGTTGATGAAACCATGTATTTTCTAGCATTTTCCCCCTATCATTTCCACTGTTAAAGTAATTGAAGGGAAAAAAATGGATGATTCACCAAGCAGAAATTTTGCTGACAGATGAGACGCCTCCCACAGATGAGTCTCAAATGAGATTCTGATGCGAAGATAAAGGACCCTGCCAGAAATACTCTCTACCCATTCGTCTTTTGTCTCCAGATGCAGAAACTTGCTCTGTGAAGAAATACATTTCTGTATAACACATCACCCCTGATAGTAGCAAATGCGTAATTTTCCAACCTCTGAATAAAGCTAACCAACTACTTCTCTGCGGGGCACCTGAGCGGCTCAGTCGGTCCAGCCTCCGACTTCAGCTCGGGTCGTGATAAGGTGGTGGTTCATGAGTTTGAGCCTCGCATCTGGCTCACTGCTGGCAGCCCAGAGCCTGCCTCCAATCCGCAGGCTACCCCTCTCTCTGCCCCTCTCCCACTAGCGTGCTCTCAAGAATAAACATTAAAAAAAAAAACCTAACAAACTACTTCTGAAAAATTGAAGAGTATCATACAATCACTTGGGGCTACCTTCAGACTGAAAGGGAAAATATCTAAAAATAGGCAAGTATCAGTAGCTGTAGACACTTGGTTATGTAGTTCTTGAGGAAGTTCTTCTCCTTGGAAGTTTCCATAAAGATGACAGTGATTTCCTGGAAGGACATGAATATCAACACTGGCATCAGTTACATCTTCCCAGGCCAAAAATGAACAAAATTACGTTTAACAACAACTGATGCCTACCACCGCCAACAAAAGATTTACTTCCAGATACTGCCTTTCTAAAGTTGACACCGACGATAGAGTTACGTCTAAGGTCTCATGTTCTGTAAGTCCTGCGTTTTTAATTTGTCTAAGACCTATCAGTATACAGTGCTATTATCAGCATTCTCTCTGTTTACACTAAATAAAGCCTCGGCCAATTTTCTACTTACCGCAGGAACTGCTGGTTGATATTAGCTGAAAATCACCAAACAAATCCCTGGAAATACAGCAAGCTATCAAAACAATTTCACCTTCTATATCCTTGGCTATATCTTCAGATCCAATAAAACGTGTTAAATCACAGGAAGGAACAGCTTCGGATGGTGGATCAAAGCAGCAGATCTTAAGAGCTGGTTAGTAACTTTTCATCATCGACGTCTCGGAACCTTTCCCTGTTAATGTCACGAAATGTGGTGCGTCTTCGCTTTCCAGCAATACAAGCATGTTTCCCAGTGCTACCTACACTTGCACCTGTCAGTACCTGCCTGAGACTCACTTGGGCCCGGCCATTTTCCAAGGTCATCTGACTTCTAGAACAATGCAGGTGGCAGGCAGCACGAAGACAGGCAGGCACCCAGTCCAAGGAGGCCAGTACCAACCAGTATCTTTAACTGTCATCCCCAGAAACATCAATCTATTTCCCAGCTCTCCAGATGGTTGCCACGTACAGAGCAAAAGCAGGTTCAGGAAAGCAGGGCTCCTGAGTGGTCTCCACCTGTTCTCAGCCGGCACAACAACAGCATTTATGAAGCTGGGTGCTGGGTGCTGTGTTCACCATAAACAGTCCGATTACTTCAGCGGCTTAGACACTGGCTGGGAGGCGACTAGAGAGGGGCGTTAAGTGCTGCCAGGTTCAGGGTGATCTGTGAGCATGACAGCTGGGGTTGGGAAAGCGCCAAGCGAGGGCTCCCTGGGGAAATGGAGCTGGTTCTGAGGTCTGGATGGGTAGGGAAAGGATTGGCCGAGGGAGAGAGGCAGCAGGGGTAGAGGGAATAGAATGAGCACAGACTGTCGGCCGTCATTCAGAGAGCAAAGCGGGGATGGGGACAGATTAAGGGAGAGGGGGTAGGCAGGGGCCAAGTCTCGGCCTCCTAAGTGATTTTGGTCGTCCTAAAAGTGACAGGAAGCCACCAAAAGGATTGAAGGCAAGATGTGCCACGACCAGACTTGTCTTTTATCCCTCTGGGTAGTGTGAGGAGTGGGTTGGAGGAGGACAGAGCATCTAAGACGGGGCCAGTCCAGCCAGCTCTTACTTTCCGCTTCCACCTGGGATGGAGGAAATGAGGAATGCCACTGGGTCCCTAACAATGAGGAAAAATGTAGTTCGTAAACTACAAAATCATAACTTTTCTTGAACTTAGCTGAGTTTTGCAAGGCAAAGTAGAAAGCAAATTCCGAGGAGAGGCAGGCCCCTCTAGGGAGAGGTGGGACGTGTGGCTCACGTGGGCACAGCACAGGAGGAAGGGGTGTGTGCCGTGCATTCCAGAAGAAATCAGCTAAAATGTTAACAAAGCGCTGGCCATCCGGTGAGGGACCATGTGTCAGACGGGACTCACACCGACTTGTGGGCTCTTTTCCACAGGCCTCCAGTAGGGGTTCAGGAGAGAGATGGGAGCAAGGCAGGGGGTCAGAAGAAGCCCCACCTGTGGGGCAGGCCGGCAGCAGGGAATTGGCTGTGGCCTTGAGATGGGCGCTGCCTCTGCCCAGGCCCTTCTCTCCCAGGAGCCAAAGCCTCACACTGCTGGAGGAGAGGCAGCCAAAGCTTTGGCCCTGGGCACAGGCACGGACGCACGGCTGCAGGGGCAGAAGCATAAACCCTCTACCCTCGAGGAAGGAGGGGAGGAAGGGCTTGGGCCTACATGGATACCAACACTCCTTCTGGGAAGGGGCCGGGAACTTCCTCCCAAGACCAACCACAGACACGAGGAGAAGGGGCAGGTGTGTTGAGAAAGGCCCACCCACAAGGACCCGGCACAGAGGACCTGCCTCAGATCAAAGTTCACGCCTGTCTGGGACATCCAAGAACTCCCCATGCTGCCCCAGAGGCTAACGCGGCACATCGGGTAACCAGCAACAGCTGCCTGCCCATGGGGAGCACCTGAGGCCTGTTCTACGAGGCCCTGGCAAGACTAAAATATTGAGAAAATTCTCCAGCAACCTGGGCTCCACACTCGGCCCACACGACACCAGGGAATTTGGAGGCTGGTGTTGTCCTGCAGTGCCCATAGTAACAGCCGTCTCCAGTCTAGACGGACTCAGTTCTCCACAGCGCCAGATAGAAGACATGTGCACAGATCCAGGTATAAAACTATTTCCTTCTACTTCTGTTTTATGCATGATACCTGGCTTGCAGCAAAAAATGATCAGACCAGGGCACCTGGGTGGCTCAGTTAGTTACGTGTCCGACTTCCCTCAGGTCATCATTCAGCATTTTGTGAGTTCAAGCCCCGCTTCAGGCTCACTGCTGTCAGCACAGAGCCTGCTTCAGATCCTCTGCCTGCTCTCTCTGTGCCCTTCCCCTGCATGTTTGTCTCTCTCTCTCTCTCAAAAATAAACATTAAAAAAAAAAACTTTGATAATATAATTGATAAAAATATTATCAGACCTAGAAGAAAGCACTGTCAAGCGGCAAAGCGATAACAACCATCAGACTCAGATGAGACCCAATGTTGGAACTATCAGAGAGTGACTTTAAACCTATGATTGAGGTGTCAAAGGATTTAATGGAAAAGGTGGACAACACATGTGAAGAAGTGGGGGCGATCACTAGAGTCAAGACGATGAGAGTCAAACAGAAATTCTAGAAATAAGCAGCAGCGACAATGAGGAATCCTCTTAACAGGCTCATCAGTAGACTGGGCACAGCTGAGGAAGTATTCTGTGAACCTGAAGGTGGTCAATAGAAATGATCCAGGGGCACCTGGATAGCTGAGGCAGTTTAGCATTTCTGCTCAGGTCATGATCTCAGGGTTTATGAAATGGAGTGCTGTGTCTGGCTCTGCACCGAGTGTGGAGCCTGCTTGGGATTCTCTCTCTCTCTCTCTCTCTCTCTCTCTCTCTCTCTCTCTCT